GCTCTGACTGAGACTTTGAATCAGCAGAAGAAGCCGCGGGCGCGTTCATTGGAGGAAGCGGCGGTTTGGCGGGAGCAGAGCCAACTGCAGGCGGAGGGGGCTTGGGAGGAGCCGAGCCCAGCGGTCGTGGTGGGGAGGTGGCGGTGATCTCGGACATGTTGGCGTAGGGAGAGTTGTTAGGAGCATCGACACGAAGGTCGTCGTAGGTCGAGCCGTCTCCGAGATTATCATACACGCCAGTCGACGCGTTCGCGGATCGGACATTGTCATACACACCAGTCGAATTGTTGCTTGCCTTGAGCTGCTCGTACACACCCTCGTCATTCTGGGCACCGCTTGTACCCAAATTGGCGTACATGCCAACATTTTGGTATGTGCCGTCACTCGCGGGTTGCAGGTTGTCATACACACCATCGCCAGCCGCGGCCAACGGGTTGGCAAAGAACCCGTCATTCCCATCCACATTCACCTTGAGGGATTCGTAGAGATCGTCCGAATCCGCATCCTGGGGCGAGTAAGTGGGCAGGTCGCCACCACCGCGCGCCTCTTGGGCTTTGCTGGAATACTGGCCTGCGGACGATCCGAGGGTGCCTGGTCGATCGGTGCTGAGGGCAGAGTTGGAAGAATGCCGTGTCGCACGGGGGCCGTCAACAATCGGATTTTCAATCATGCCTGTAGCGCCACCAATCAGCTGCATGTCATAAGACAGAGTCGACGCTGTTTTGCCCAAGCCTTGACGCTGCCGGCGGCGGCGACGCACAAGAACAACCAGCAGGATCAGAACGAGGAGCACTGCGACAATCACGCCGATAATGATGGGCATCGAAGAGGAGCTGCCACTCGATGCAATAGCATTGAGACAAGTGCCTGTGGCGGGGTCGCCATAGGTTCCACGCGGACAAGTGCTCACACAAAGGTTGGTGCTGTTGGACTTGAACTGGCCAGGATTGCAGACGGTTGAGCACGTGTTATTGGGCTGCACACCATAAGTGCCGTTCGGGCATGTCGCAACACAAGCACGAACCGTCGGAGACAAATCGGCGTACCAGTCGGTAAGACACCCAGTCTCGCAGAAGGTGGTGTTTGATCCGACAAGGGGCTCAGGGCACAGGGCCTTGCACGTCATGTCGTCACGGTCGCCGTAGGTCGGGTACGAGCACAATGCTTCGCATTCACGTCTCGCCACGTTGGAATACAGTTCACTGGGGCAGGAAGATGCGCACGCACCAGTGTTGGGGTTGCCAAAGTATGGCGAAGGGCACACATTGTAACATGTCTTTTCAGACTCCATGCGCCAGGGTGCCACGCAAGACGTCTCGCAATTCAGGGTTGTCTGATCTGCATACAATCCGCCAGTGCATGCGCTAACACACGTGCCAGTGGCGGAATTGCGGTACTGAACTCCAGAGCACACAGTCACGCAAGCTTGGGTCAACGAATCCAAAAAGACGCCATCGCTCTGGGTCGGACAAGTCGCAACGCACAGGCTCTTTGCATCGTAGCGTTTGAGTGATCCGGAGCAGGCGCCGCCGCAAAGAGTCGTCAAAGGGTCACCGAGCAGAGGCGCCGGACAGCGGGCGACACAGAGACCCGAGCCTGTGGTGATATCACCGTAGACACCGGCGGGACACCTGAGGCCGCATGTTCGCGACACTGAGTCCGCATAATAGTTCGAAGGGCAAACAGTGACGCAAGTCCATGTGGTGTTGTCGGCCAGGCGGCCAGCAGGACAAACTCCAACACACACGTGGTTGAGGCTGTTGGCAAATGAACCAGCAGAGCACGTTGCGCTGCACATGTGGGTCGTGGCATCGGCATACTCGCCAGGCGATGTGTCGCAATTAGGCTGGCACAACCCGGTCGAGGCCACGCCAAACAAGCCGGAAGAGCAAGTCGCGGTACAGGTACGCGTGTTGCTGTCCGCGTACACGCCTCCGGGGCAGGTGGCGGTGCACGTACGTGACGCGGTATCTGCAAACGTGTTGGGAGGGCACTGAGAAGCAGCGGCAACGCACAGCTTGGAAACAGAGTTTGCAAAAGTGCCAGCAGGACACTGCGAGACGCAACGACGCGAGTCCTGGTCGCCAACCAGTGGAAGGGTGCAGCTCGACTCGCACGACCACGTGGAGTTCGTCGCAAAGGTGCCTGCTGTGCACAGAGAAGTGCACAACCTGGTTGCGCTGTCGGCCCACACATTATAGCCCGCACACGACGTTGCGCAAGTTCGCTTGGCCGCGACCAGCCCAAACTTGCCAGACGAGCAGAAAGTGACACACTGGCCATTCTCTGCGTAAAAGTTCGGTGGGGGGCAGTCATCCAAGCACATCCAAGTCGCATTGTGCGCAACACGGCCGTTGGAGCATGATGACGCACACAGATGCAACGAGGGATCGCCCCACGAGAAGGGCGGGCAGCCGGTTTCGCACGTGCCTCCGGCTGTGGCCGGGGTAGCAGATTGCACACCATAGGTCGAAGCTGAGCAAACGGACGAGCAGAGCCGAGTCAGTGAATCAGCAAACGTGCCTGGTGGGCAAGTTCGTACGCAGCTCGCAGTCGTCGAGCTGCCAAAGTATCCATTCGGACACTGCGCCACACAAGAAGCAGTCGACGAGTCGGCAAACCAGCCCTCATAAAAGCATCCAGAAGCGCACAGCTTTGTGTGCGTGTCTGCAAAGGAGCCGTCGGGGCAGTTTGACACACAGCGGTTTGTCGAATTGTCTGCAAAGCGGACGCCAGTGCACACGGACTCGCAGCGGCTGGTGGATTGGTCGGCAAATGTGAAAGTCGGGCAGCTCGTCGAGCACACAAAGGAGGGAGTCGAAAAGTAGCCATTCGAGCAGAGCGAGACGCATCGGAGCAAAGTGGGATCGGCCGACAAGCCACCAGTGCAGGAGGCCAAGCAAATGGCAGAATTGTCGTCAGCATAGCTATTCGAGGGGCAGGTGAGAACGCACGTCCTGGTATCGTTACGACCGTAAAACCCGTTCGAGCACCGAGTTGCGCAGAGCGACGTGTCCGAATCCGCATACACGCCGCTGGGGCAGCTTGAAACGCAGCGGTTGGTGGCAGAGTTGCCGTACAAGCCAGCTGAGGCGCAAGAAGTTGCGCAAGACCAGGTACTGTTGAGAGCAAACCGCGGCGATTGGCAGGTGGTACCGCACAGCTGGGTTGCTGGGTCGCCCCAGGTGTTTGGGCTGCACATCGACACGCAGGCGCCCACTGCAGAGTCACCATAATATCCACTCGAGCAGGTTGTCGTACAGGTGCGGGTCGGAGGGTCGGTAAAGGTGCCCGGGCACGTTGCTCCGCATGTGTGCGACACCGAGTCTCCCCAAGTTGGAGAGGGGCACTGCGTCACGCAACGCTTGGTCGAGATGTCTGCATATCCAGTGGGGCAAACAGCAACACAGCTCGACGCGGAGGAACTGTAGAACGGAAGTCCAGGGTCCTCACAGTTGGCAATGCACCGACCGCTGGCAGTGTCCGCATTGTAAGGAGCCGGGCAGGAAACGACACATCGTGAAGTTGTCGAGTCAGCCAGCAAGGGCGCGGGGCAGTCGGCGACACACACGCGCGTCGCGTCCGAGGCATACCCACTGTCGCAGACACTGACACACGAATATGTCGTGTTGGAGCCGTAGAGTGGAGGACTGGACGGGCAAGTCACAACGCAGATACCGGTGGAGGAATCGGCATAACGACCGCCAGAGCACGAGCTGCTGCAAACACGAAGCAAAGCGTCCTGGTAGGTACCGGAGGGGCATTTCGAAACGCAAATGTTGCTGCTCGAGTCCGCGTAAGAATTGGCAGGACAGCTGCTGACGCAGACACGAGTCGAGTTGAGGCCAAAGGTTGTGGTAGGGCACGTTGAAACACACAGACTCGTGTCGTTGCGACCGTATGTCGGTGCCGGGCAAGTCACCACACAGCGTTTGCTCGAGTCCGCGCCGTACAATCCGTTCGAGCATGTCGGCACACAGGTCCACGTCGAGTTTTGAGCATAACCGCTTGCGCAAGACGTGACACAAAAGCCCGATTGTCCCCAGGAGGCTGCTGGACAAGTGGTGACGCAAAGGCCGCTGGCCGGACTGCCAAAGGTACCGTTCGAGCACGACGGACCGCAAACGCGAGGGTTGACAAGAGGGTCACCATACGAGCCGGAGGGACAGCCGGCGACACAAGTGTTGGTGGTCGCATCACCATAGTTGGGCGACGAACACGTGGTGGTGCATTGCTTGGTCGAAGAATCGGCGAAAAAGCCAGTCGCACAGGTAGCGACGCAAGTAAAAGTGGTCGTCTCACCGAACTGGTTGCTCGAGCACTGAGACGAACACAAGTGGGACAACGAATCGGCAAAGGTGATACTGGGTGTGGTGGGGCAGTTTTGCACGCACAACTTGTTGGCCGAGTTGCCAAAGTACGTCGATGGGCAGGTGGCCACGCACGTCTTGGTGGTGGGGTCACCAAAAGCACTGCTCGAGCAAGTGGCGACACAGACTTTGGTCGGCAAGTAGCCAAACTGCGCACCCGTGCAGGTCGCCTCGCAATTACCAGTGCTGCTGTCAGCAAACGACCCATCGGGACAGGTGCTGACGCACTGGCGCGAGCTGACAACGCCGAACGTGCCACCCGGGCACGAGGCGACACACGCTCGCGAACCAGTCGTCAAACCGAAAGTGGGGGAAGGGCAGGTGGCAACGCAGATGCCAAATCCAGAGCTGGAGTCGCCAAAGGTTGCCGGTGAGCTAGAACAGGTCGACACGCATCTGCGAGACTGGTTTGGATCGCCGTAAGTGACGCTGGGGGACGCCGGGCAGTTGGCAGTGCAAAGCGAGGATGTCGCGTCACCCCAGTTGGGTGCAGCACAACTGGCCACGCAAGTCCTGCTCGGGCTTGCTTGGCCAAAAGTGGCCGCGGGGCACGTCGTCACGCAGGTTGTTCCCGAAAGGAACCTGGTTGACGAACAGGACGTGCAGCCTGCAGAATTACACGTCGCACAGGTTGGGTCGCAACCAACCGTAAAGCTAGCAGTCGCTTGCTCGCTCGTCAGGCCTGCTCCGTTTACCGCGCGGACAGAAAAGGTATACGTCGTGCCGTACGTCAGACCAGAGTAAGTGGTAGAGCTCCCGCTGCAGGTGAAAAAGCTGGCCTCAAGCGGAGCAAGCTGACATTGGTAACCAAACACGGTCGATTGTCCATCGGTGGAGCCAGAGAACTGGAAGGCAGCTGTTGTCACGGTGATGGTTCCGGCTGGACTGCTGGTAATGGTGGGCTTGCTAGGCGGAGTAATGTCGACGCAGGTAGCAAACAAGAAGGATATGTCGGTGGCGCAATAGTTAGAGTTAGAGTAACTATCGCACGCCTCCCTTGAAGCGGAAGTGGTGCCGAAGGAAGCAACAAAGTTGTTTGTGACAGCACAGGAGGGTAATGCGCCGCCATTGGAGTAAGTGCCTGTTTGTTGCGAGGAATAGCCAAAAACGATGGCCGTTTGAGCTGGACATGTCACGGTACCCCCGTTGTACAATGTCGAGACGGGTAATGGTGTATCCGCAGAATCAAGCGAGATGCTTGCAGCTGGCAGGCAAATGAGGTAGATGAACGCGTACTGGCGGGCGCCATTGCCAGTGCAATATGAGGAATACGCAAAGCAGTCTGTAACCGAGCAAGAGCTGCCTCCAATGGTACACATTTTGCTTCTGGGTGCAATGCAGGTTTGCGACGAAGAGACGCCATCCGAGAAGAACAACGAAAAGCCGTAGGCAACCTTGGTCGAGCCGGGACACGTTGCTGTGACAGTAGCGACGTATGGATCACCTGCAGCAGAGACTTGGCCTGTGTCGAGACCGTCAGGGACGCTGCTCTTGCAAACAATAACTACAAACTGACGGGGCGCCGTAATGCCTGACGAGCATGGACCCATTGAGCAGCCAGCTTGACCAGCTGTTGCGGCAATGCAATTGAGATGCGATTCGTTCAATGAGTCAACAAGCCGAAAAATGGCACCACAAGTATTGCAAGTGTTGCTTACTTGGACAAATCGCGTTGTTGTTCGTCGTGAAACACGATGGAAGAGGACGATCAGCGGCAAAATTACGCGACCACCTGTTGCAAAGCAAAATTTTCTAGTGAGCAAAGTCCGTCTCGCTCACGGGCATCGCATCCAAAAATGCTCTTCCTACATGTAACGGAATCCCCACGCGACAATTTTGCCCTCGGGGCAGGTCGCGCTTCCTCCTGCTCCGCTGGTGGCTTTGGCATACACAATCTCAGCGTTCGATGAAGGCATCCAGTACGCGCCTGATGATGCAGAATTGTCCAGAACATGACCCATTGGTTCAATCGTTCAGTTAGTATTGATTCATTGTTGGTGTGCATATTTTCCGCTTTGGCCGGATGGAGGAAAGCGGGGGGGGGGGAAAAGGCTGAAACGACAGAAACCAAACCGCCTTTTTTGTTGTTGTTGTTGTTGTTGTTGTTGTTGTTGTTGTTGTTGTTGTTGTTGTTGTTGTTGATGATGTTGTGCTTGTCCGATCAATCGCCGCTTCCTTCTTTGCTTTTCGCCATTGGATTGGAACTGCACTCAATCCCTGAGCGCAATGGACCCAAGCAACTCCCCGTGTCACATTCCCATCCAACCGTGATCACCAATAATTGCTTTCTTGGGTGTGGGGGGATTTTTTTTTTTTTTTTTTTTTTTTGCTCTTCTGTCGCTGTCTCATTGTTTCAAATCTGCGATCGCTCTGCTTCGCCCGCCTTGCGTGCATGCCATCATCGAGGGCTCAGAAGCAAGTTGCAAGAGAACGAGGACCCATGCGGCTGAATGGTGTGGACTGAGTCAACGGTCGCGACTCTTCCGTTGAATGGACGATGGACGAATTCGTGATGATGAGGGGGCAACAAAAAAAAAACCAAAAAAAAAAAACAACCCCCGATTATTGGTATTGGACGCGGTCGAGCGTGCAATCAAGACGACAGTAGTGATGACAATGATGCGTTGAAGTGGAGTGGCTCAGAATGTGGCTGTGAGGTGGTGGGATAATTGTGTTTGGTGGTTGTCGTTTGTTGTTGTTATTCTTATTGTTGTTTGTTTTTTTTTTTTTTTGTTTTTTTGTTTTTTTGTTTTTTTGCGGAAATTCGCTATGGTGCGTCATTGTGCCAATCAACGCATTCCCCCACACCGCAAGCGTGTCATGCATCTCATTCCAAGCTCGTTCCGCTTAGTCTGTTTGTTTGTTTGTTTGCTTGACGGCGAACGACGAGCGAGTCGAACTCTAACAGTCATCGTTGCGAGATCTGAAATTGGCTTTTTTTTTTTTTTTTTTTTTTTTTGGTGAGCTAATTAGCTCCATTTTCGCCTTTTTCCATTTTTGCAGAGCCGCTTGCTGCAAAGTCGCGACCTCAGGCACCTCAGGCGTGTGTCCGCCAACCACATGCAACGACTCTCACAGCCTCAGTCGTCGAGATCAACGCGCGTGTCTCAACCCAGCCCGCCACACTCAAAACAGCCACAAATCAGGATTGCAAATCATCAAAAAAAAAACAAAAAAAAAAACGTGAAGCTGTAATTTTCGCTTGTTCCCTTTTTTTTTTTTTTTTTTTTTTTTTTTGGTTATTCTTGGCGCGTCATCCACCCGAACAAATGCATCGGCCTCCCTCCCACGCCATCCTGGGGCAGCCCAAGCGCAGCGATCGAAACGAAACCCCAAAAAGTGGCCGCGTCGCAAGTCCCATCCAAAACGACACTGGAAACCAGCAGGGAAAAAAAGCAACAAAACAAAAACCAAATCACCGAATCGCCGCCGAAAAACAAAAAAAAAAAAAAAAAAAAAAAAAAGTCCTGTTAAATGACTCGGTGGCTTTGACTCGGTGGCTTGGGTTGGGTTTCGCACCCGCCCGACCGCTTTGCCGCTCCAATTCAACGGCTGATAGCATGTGAGAGAGGGTGAAATGTGAGGCGCAGGGTTGGGGTACCTCGGTAAGCAGCGTCGGCGGGGCTGGCGGCGAGCGTAGCAACAAGGACGAGCACCGCAAAGCTCAAGAAGGCAAGCCGATTGCCGCGGCCGTTGCAGATGCGACGACCGGCGTTTGGTGGTAACGCGTGACCGCCAATCTCGTCGGCGCCGCTATTACCACCGCCACAACTACCCCGATCACCAATCGTGGTGGCTGCGATGGCACCGGCACAACCGAGCCGGCGTTGCGGATCTCGTCGCAGGAGCATCGGGAATGAAAGGATCGAAGGAAAAGGATCAAAGAGCAAGGAAAGAAAAGAAAAAAGAAAGAAAGAATGACAAAAAGATGAAGAGTGATGCAGAAACAAAATACAAAATACAAAATGCAAGCAAAAATGAATGCAAAAGCAGACCTCGAAATTGGCTGAAATCGGTCGGTCGTCGGGCGCTGTTCGGGTTTGGCAACAACGATCGAACGGATGAAGCGCAGCTCAGTGGCAATGGGTCAGTCACCAGCTGCAAGCAAGCGTGGAAGCACAGGGATGAGCAAAGGCAGAGACCGAGGAAAACGCGGAAGCCACCTCCCACCTCCGTTCGTTCCGGCAATTTAGCCGGCCGCGACACAAACACCCGACGAGCGTTGCAATACTGCATGAACGCCGTCCAGAGAGGGCTGTGAGCATGTGAATGTATCACAGCCCCTCTCGTGTCCAGATTTCCTTCAATTGGACCGCATCACAGTCTGTTATGGATTGATGTGTATCTGTATTTGGAGTGTGTTCACTCGTCGCTTTGTATAAGTGAAGTCTCTTGTTTCCCTATCATCACTCTCATCATCAACCCATTACTCGTATCTTCGTGGAAGGATCTCTGATCACAACACAGTCCTGCAACGGTCGCTCGGGTCGAGCCCTTCTCCTGATGGATTGATGGATTGTTGTTGGGAAATGTTCCGACTCACTCTTTCGATCAACGAAAACCACCGCCACGTGCAGTACATATCATGGGATCGCAGCAAATGCTTTTCAGCGCTCATATGCTCACATTCTCAGGTACGGATGGACCAGCGCGGCGGTCGCTATATGCGCCGCCGCAAATTTGGCAGATGTTTGGAACGGTTGGGGACATTTACTCCAACTGCAAGTCGGCGTTTCGGTCAAGTGGAGCAGATTCGGTTTTTTTTTATCAAATCATGATGATCAAGCGGCACTGGGCGCGGGGAGGATGGAGTGGGGACGGGAGTTGGAAACCGCTCAAACTGCAGATCAGAAACCGCAAAATGACCGCTGGGAACTGTAGAAACCCATGACATCATGAACAGCACGCAAAAGGCCGCAGGTGCGCCTAAGATTCATGCAATGGTTTGGCGCACCTCTTCCAGGAAAGTGCGCAAAGTCGCTGCGGGATGGCGATCGCTGAGTGGCGCTGGATTGAGCGTTGCATGGGTTTTTGAATGGTGAGTTGGATTCGATCTGTTGCGACAATACAGCCGCGCAAACATGAGCGGTGTGTCCTGATCTAGCAAAATCTGAGAGTGAGCTGACGACCCAGCTCGGATCTGCTCGATGCTGGTCGACCCGCTTCTGTTTGCCATCATCGACCCCGGAAGATGGCAAAAAAAAAAATCAAACAAACCTTGAATCATCGCCACTCATAACCTACAGATGGATCTGAGATTGCGGAACAATCATCGATGGCAGTCTCCATCCAAACCAGCTTCAAGCACAGTCTAACATTTACAAGCGACATCGCTCTCCATTGATTTTTTTTCTGTTGTTTTTTTTTTTGGCGGGAAACTTGCATTTGCTGCTTTTTCTAACATCTTCCCCTCCTCTGTTGGTCTCGCCAAGCGCATGAGTCTCGCAGACCCGCTGCCGGTCATGGAGACGCCCCTGGTGCGAGGATTGCGGGATGCGGCGGAGAGCGACAGCGCTGGGCCGCAGGACCCTCCGCGGCGCGACGCGATGATGCTTTCAAGCCCTGCGAACGAGTCTGGCGCGTCCTCTGCTGTTGTGCAACACCCGAACCCTGCCGTGTGCCCCATGTCTGGCGATTCGATTGGCATCTTTGCCGAGCGTGCGCCGACGGAGGGCACTGGCCCAAGCATCGCTGCTGCTGCTGCTGCTGCTGCTGCTGCTGCTACTGCGATGGAAGAAGCTGCGAATCGAAATTTGGCGCCAACTCTTGAATCCGCGTTTGTGTTCGCCCAGTCCACCAAGAAAGAGGAGGACGAAGAGAACTTGAATCAAGACGTGCCGACTTCTCCAGCAAGACCCATACTTCAGGATGCATCAGCCGATTCCAGCGTGGATTCGCCCCGGCGTTCGTCGCGACGCGCTTCAGAGGCTGCATTGCGCGGATTGCTCGCACGACCAGCGACGACAACGGCAGCCCAGCCTGCGGCCAAACCAGCCGCTCGCCCCGTGTCGGACAAGGTCAAAAAGTCGCAAGCATCGCCTGCTTCTACAGGTCGCCCTCGTGGTCGGCCCAAGGGATCCCTCAAAAATGGCCAACGCACACTGGCCGCCATGTTCAAGCAGGCGGCTCCAGGCCAAAGCGACGCGGCGGCAGGGCAGAGTGTTTCCGTGAGCGACAGCTCTGCATCTGACGAGGAGGCTCATGTGGTTGCACAAGGGGAAGAACCATCGTCGTCCGAGACCTCGGACAATGCCAGCGACGAGGAAAGCGAGGATAGTGACAAAGAACGCAAAGCACGCACAACGCGCAGCAAGCGCAAAAAGCAAGGTACGTCGATTCATGTCTTATTCGCGGGCACAAGCGAGGTTGTTTTTGAACGTGCAGCTGTCGATGTGAAAAGCAGAGCTCTGATTGTGACTGCTCCGTTTGCAGCAGAACCCATCGATGTCGATGCAATTCCTGCATTCTTCTTGACGCCAGCTCAGAGAAAGGAACGGCAGCGGCGAGAACAGCTCGCGGCCGCAGAGCTCCCGCCACCCCCACCGCCGACCGAGGAAGAAAAGGAGGCTGCCAAGCAAGAGGCCATCCGCCAGTTTCGCGCGTCTCGCCAGGAGGTCTCCGAGTGGGATGCTCGGATGAAGCAAGAGTGGGGTCGGTCGAGCGAGGCCTCGGGTGGCGTAACAGCTGTTCGCTCCATCAACGACGTCTTGAAGAAATTCCAATCGCCAAAACCCAGCAGCATCTCATCCTCCGAGGCCCACCCAGGCCTTGGCCAAGGCACATTCCTTGTTGAGGTTGACGATGCTGCTGCTGCTGCTGCTGCTGCTGATGGTGCCAACGCTGAACCAGCTGCTTCAGAGGTGTCATCGCTGGTCGTGGCACCCGTGAATGAGCGGGATTTGGTCGACGCCCCTTGGCCGGAAATTTCGCATACTCGACAGCTGGTGGTTGAGACTGACGAAGCAACAGAGACCAGCAAGGTCCGAATCTTCCAAGGCCAGACGCGCCCGCTTCCTGTCGCTGACCAGACTGCCGAACTGTTGGCTCCGCTAGCAAGCTGCCTGACTCCGAGCGAAACAAACTCTCCACAACACACCCTTTCGGCAGCCTCCGCGGTCGATTTGTCCGATTCTTCCCAGGCACATCAGCGCGGAGTGTGGCATCGTGGTCGGGTTTCGCGAGATGCCTTCCTGGCCGACGTCTTGCGGCGGCACCCGAGCTTCTCCACCGCCGAATTGGACTGGATTCTCTCCTCGTATGAGCAGCGAGTAGGATCTGAGCATGTCGCGTGGACTGACAAGTACAAACCAGCCTGCTCTGCGCACCTCATCGGAAACCAAGACCCGGCCTCGTTCGTTCGACAGTGGTTGGCCGAATGGAAGGTCTCCCAGCCCTCCTCGGGTACCCCTGCGGCCTTGATGCCACTCCTTACACATCCATTGGGACTGGGTCCAGCTCCCGCATTGGGTCGTTCGGCGTTCCTTGGGAATGCAACTACCAATCAAAGCAGCGACCTGGTATCTGGCTCGGAGGCTGACAGCAACGATGACAATGACGGCGGCGGTGACGACGACGACGACGACGACGACGACGACGACGGCGAGGCCTCAGACGACTCTGATTTCGAGACGCCTCGACGCAAGAGCAGCAGGCGCCGCTCTACCAAGGCGAAGCTGACCGCCCGCTCTGCGGCAAAGCCAGCTGCACCAGCGAGTGCCGACGCTCAGCAAGACATTTGCAACACGCTTGTTATTTCAGGACCGACTGGCACTGGCAAGACCTCGTGTGTGTATGCGTGCGCGCAGGAATTGCACTACAAGATTTTTGAAGTGAACGCTGCGTCGGATGTATCAGGTCGGCAATTGCTTCACATGCTGGGCGAGGCGACCCAATCACACCAAGTGGGGACGTTTATCGCCACCGCCAATGCCAACTCGGCCATCCGAAATGCCTTTTCCACATTGCTGGGGTCTGCTGCTGCTGCCGCCGCCGCCCCTTCGTCACCTGCGCCAGCCACCCCTTCAAGCAGTGTGCAAACTCCTCTTCCATCCAAGGGCAAGTCTATTAGCAGCTTCTTTTCCAAGCCCTCGCCTGGTGCCTCACCTACACCTGCACCCTCTCTCAAGACGACTGGCAAACGCGCCCTTCCAGCGAACCACCAGGAAGACGCTGAAGATGGTGGTGCGACTGGCAAGAAAACTAGCCCCGCAACCAACTCCAAACGCCCTCGTCTGGTCGTTGCGGATGACGAGTGTGCAAACGACGGTGTGACCAGCGGTGAAACTGGCAATGGCGCTGCATTGCTGGTAGATTTGGCAGCTGCCTCGTCCAATTCGACCATGCCTGCAGCGGTGGGCAGTCTGTTGACCCCGTCCGCTTCAACGCTGCTGGCCACATCGTCCTCCTTGTCCTCCTTTGCCTCTTCCAACACAAAGGCCGCTGCCTCTTCTCTGATTCTGCTCGAGGACACTGGCTCGCTGCTGCTTGAGCAGGATCGTGACTTTTGGACGGCTCTTGCTTCGCTGCAGCACTCATCCAAGCGTCCTATCATCATCGTGACCGATCCTGCCCACCACCAGCGTGTCCTAGACCGGTTGTCCGGTGCTTACCTGACAGCGTCCTTCCGCCAGCCCTCCAACGACGAGCTGACGGTGCACCTGAGGCTGATATGCTTTGCAGAAGGGATTTTAACGTCAGATGCAGATATTCGAGCCATTGTCTCGCATTGCAAGATGGACGTGCGTCGCTGTCTCGTCATCCTGCAATTCTGGGCGCGAACCGAGCTTGCGCAGTCGCAGTCCGCGCATGCGCGCATTCTCCCGCTTGCGACCGGCTCTGAATTGACCAACGGGCGCGACATGTTGCTTGCTCGGTTTACGGAGAATGTGCTCGGCCTCGGGTTGCATGTTTCGCCGTACCGCTCCACCCTCGAGTTCCTCTCGACTGGATTGGGTCGAGACTTGAGCCATCCTCGTCTGCTCTCGGCTAAGCGGGACTTTGTGGCAGAATGTGCTTCTCGCTCGCTCGATATTGTGGGCAGAAACGCGCTTGACTTGCTGAGCAGCCGAAATCTCATCAACGTTCGGCTAAGCACCGCGCCGCCGCCCAACATTTCGGCTGCGACAGAGCTTACGTCAACGTCCAGCGGTTTTGAGAGCAAGGCCGCTGTTGGCAGTGATGACAACGATCTGGAAGCACCCTTGCCAACCTCGGCGCCAAGACGACCGCGGCGCATTATTGATGATGATTCCGACGACGAGGAGGTGGATGTCGTTGCACCGATGGAGATTGAGCCCGCTCCTTCACTTGTCGAAGCCGCGGGTTCACAAGCGCTGACGTTGCAACATGCCGCAGCATTGGCTAGTATCGATGTCGTTGCCGACTTGTGGGAGCTTCAATCTTGGCAGGATGCGATGGTGGTGCGCGATGTAGCCGACATGCAAGCACGCTCGACAGACTCGGACGGTCGCTCCGCGCCAAGTGTGGCAGACTGGCTAGACATGCACGCATCCATCTCTGTGCATGGTCTCCATCAGGCCGCCCACAAGGGCGAGCTCGTCCGCAATCAATGCTCGCATCTTCTTCAGCAACAGATGGACACAAGCGAAGGCGTTAGTGAAGGAGTTGGCCCGGACCAGCCACCCTCCGTCTCGTGTCCCAAGACAGACCCATCCAGTCCGTTAACAGACAGTATTCAAGAGCTTACGTGGCCTGACGCGACGGTCGCTGCCATGCGACTTCGTGTGGTTAGGTATGATTGGGGTTTTTGGATGCGTAGTGTTTTGGGTGGGTGGGTTGGTTGGGCTGGTTGGGTCGCTCCGCGCGTAGCTCATTCGTTAACTTTTGACACACCTTTTTTTTTCTTTGCTTGTATTGCGCAACAGTGACTCCAACTACAAGCGAATTACGCCATGCGTCTTCCGGCTGTGCTCGCCAATGTACCACACGCAGCGCCAGGTAGTTTCGACAACACTTATGCCCATGCTGAGGCTCATGTACCAGAACGAGCTCCTTCGCATGGCGAGCAACTCGAAGCGACGCTTCCATAGTTACTTTGCAGCGCTCCCGCTCAAGAAGGAAGACACTGCCCTGTTGCAGCAAACTTTCCTCGAAGCGGAGGATCGGCTCGTCAACACCCCGCTTGCGAGGATATGCATCTAAGACAGTCATTGTCCCAGGGTCTTGGGCGCTCTACGATCTTAGCGGTCTATGAGCTTGTTGGAGCTTTCAACCTGTCGTTAGGAATAAACTTGTTTTGTTGGCGCTCCATGCGTTCGTTCGAGCGTTCAACCTTTGTCATTATTGCTGTATGATGTACTATGCTCGGCATGCAGTATCGGCAGCACAACAGCAGCAAGCCAAAACGCGATCGAACTTGTTTCATTCCCGCGCAAGCAAGAAGTTCTCCATTTTTGATCGATCTTCTGATGCGACATGACATGTCTTCATTCAGTTTGCCATTCTTATTTTTCTTTTTTTTTTCTTTTTTTTTTTTTTGTTCTCAACACAAAGCGTTGTTTTCACTTGTCTTTTTCTGTTTTTGTTTTCGTTCTTTTTTTTTTTGTTTCTCGCAATCTCAGAGATCTCTTTTTTTTTTTTTTTTTTTTTTTTAATTCGACTTTCCAGTCATTTTGCATTGAGTTTCTCTCTCACATAATGTCGACCACGCCGCCTGGCTCGCCGCCGCCACTGGTGCGCCCGGTGCCAGGAGCAACGACGACGACGACCGCTACAGCAGGACCCGCAGCGTCAGCCGAGGCCGCGGCGGAGGAGCTGGACGCCGAGCTGGACGAGATGGAGGCGCAGGCCAAGAGCGCGGCGGTCTCGTCGAAGCGCATCCACGCCGTGAGCAAGATCGCCGTGCGCAACTACAAGCACTACAAGCACATTGTGCACTGCATCGAGCGGTTCATCCACCGCGCGCGCGCCGAGCACAAGCTCGCTGGCGTCTACATTATCGACGCGATCGTCCGCGGCTCGCAGCACAAGCTCGGCGCCAAGGACAACTACGCAGACCGCTTTGGGCGCAACCTGGGCGCAACGATCGAGTACTGCTTCAACAAGTGCTCCGCGGTGGACCAGGACCGCGTCCGGCGAATCGTCTCGCTCTGGCTCCAGAATCACATCTTCCCCTTTGACATTGTCGCGCCCATCGAGAGCAAGATTGGGCCCGCGTCCGCACTGCCTGCGACTACCGCTAGTGCTGGTGCTGGTGCTAGTAGTGCTGCGGCGATCGCGTCCAACTCGGGCAGATCTACCCCCGTGCAAGAGTCACCCGCGAACAGCCCAGGCGGGTGGAGGTCCGGGCTACGATCCAATAACGTGGTCGACGTCGATGACTTTGACTATGGCGAAGGCGGCGGCGGCAGCAATGGTGGAGGCAGTGGTGGAGGCGCGCTTGCAGAGCAAAGTCTGAATGGGGCGTATGCAACGGCGCCTGTCCCTGCTACTGCTGTTGCTGCTGCTGCTGCTGCTGCGGCTCCTGCCGTTGGCTCATTGGCTTCAATCCTCTCTGCTGCTGGCGTTGCCCCGCAGTTCTGGAACATCACCGCTACTCCTGCTTCCCTCCCTGCTCAACAGCAGTACAGTAGTATTCCTGTGGCCCAGGCCCCAGCAGCGCCGATTGGGCCTCCTCCAACCGATCCTCGCCAACAAGCGGCGCAGCATTTGCAACAACCGCAATCAGCACCCGTGCCACAACAACAACAGCAACAACAACTACAGCAACCACCAACTCAACAGCATCAGCAACTACAAACTCAACAACAGCCACCCGCTGGCTTGGATCTTTCGATGTTGGGAGCCAACTTGGGGCTGCTCACACAGTTGGCAAAGTCTCTCCCGTTTCTTCAATCCACTGCCTTGGCTGCTGCATCGCAAGCGCCACCTCAGCAGCAAAACCACAGTTATCAGCAGCCATCCTATCCACCGCAAGCGCAGTCGTACTCATCCAACGCGCCGCCATTGCTCAACCACTACCCGCCGCAGCAGCAATCCCAGCAGTATCTGCCCATGTCGCAGTATCAGCAGCAGCAGCAGCAGCACCAACACCAACAGCCTCAACCCTACCCGCAACAGCAACAACCGCAACAACAGCAACATCATCATCAACAACAACAACAACAACAACAACAACAGCAACAACAACAACAGCCCTTCGGTCAGCACTCTGCTTACAGCGCTTCGTCATCCCAACAGCAGCATGGCCAATACCAGCAACAACCGCCAAACATGGTTCGCGCAATGAGCACAACGGTCTTTCTCGGCCTGGGTCGATCGCGGCTTAGCTCGGGCGAGCTGTGCGAAGTCCTGTCCAACTATGTGAATGTCGTCGATTGCATGTTTGGCCGAGACGAAAGCCAGGCCTTCCTGACAGTGTCTTCGAGTGTCGAGGCGGATTTTCTCGTTTCTCAGCTGGCCATTCGCCTCTCGTCGCAGTTCCCGGGCCTGAAGGTCGGCTATGCCAAGAGTTTTGGGCAGAAAAAGTACCCCGACAGGTTCAATCAACGCACGGGCGAGTCCTTGCTGCCCGCGCACTTGGTCACGGCCGAGCTCATTCCATTCTTGTCGGATGGCGCCGAGCTCGACGAGGCCACCATCTCGCCTTCGTTGCTGCCATTGTATCGGATTAAGCGGCAAGAGTTTTTGAAGAAGATCAAGTACTTTTTGAAGCCCGACAGCCATGCTGTGGAGCAGTGGCTTCAACAGCAGCCTCAACAGCAGCAGCAGCAGCAGCAACGAGAGCAACCGCCTCCGCAACGAGAGCAACAACACCACCGTCCACCGATGCAGTCTGGGCCGCTTCCTCCTCACCCATTCGCTACGCATAATGGAGCATATGGGCAGCACCAACAGCCGTCCACGGACAATGTGATTGTCCTTGGTCGGACGTAACGCGTTGCTTCCATTTGTGTGACTGTGTTTGTGTGAACTGTTCCAATTTATCATCCGCTTTTGTTATATGTATATTTTCCATGTCTGAGTGTTGCTCCACATCGGGCAACTCAGTCTTGTATTCTCAGAAGTATCTTCATCTCTCTCTCTCCCCTTCATCCTTGTCTTCTGCTGCTGCTCCTTCACGCCATTGACATATCAGCCACCTCCATCTCTGAGCATTTCTTAGTAATTCCATCCATCCCAATGTTGATACATTGCGCTTCCATTGCCGCTGCAGCTCCAGCACTGTTGCCTCGATCGTTGGCCAGCAGCAGCGTCGCAGCCGCCGTCGTCCGCCACCACAACCCCAACTACCACCCTCGCCACCCTCACCGGCAGCAGCAGAGGCGCTCGTTCTCATCCATCCTCATTCTCGCTGGCCGTGCGCACGCGTCCACCGCGCATGGCGGCCCAGCGAGCCATCCACCTGCGCCCTTCCTCCGCTCCAGTCGCCCAGCCAGCCAAGCCAACAACGCTGCTACTGCTCGTACTACTACTGCCGCTGCTGCTGCTGCTGCTGCTGCTCCGGCTCGGAATGCAGTGCCGCGGCCGGCCGAGTTCCCTGGCGAAGCTGGCTTTCAGCCCTTCCGCCCCGAGGCGCTCGATCCGCCGCGAGTCACCTTTGTTGGCAAGACTGCGCGGCAGGCCAAGCTGGGCGAGGACCCGCGGCTCAAGACATGGACGACGCTCAAGCTGCCGCAGGTGCCGCAGCAGCCGCAGCAGCAGCAGGAAGCAGCGGGAAGCCCAGCCGGGTCTGCTCAGACGAGTGCTCAGACGAGTGCTCAGACGGCCGCTCAGCCGCCTCGAGACATGTATGAAGCGCGCTCGTTCACGCCGGAAGCGCGCGGCAAGATGCTGCGTGCCATCCATGGCATTGGGGCTGCACTGTCGCAGCAGCACTTGTTCACCCGCCTCGACGACGGGCGCGAGTGGCGGATTCGTCAGCTGGCTGCACTGCAAGAGTTTGTATCCAAGCGATCGACCTCGCTGCGTCCCGTGTCCGTGCCACCTGCATCAAGCTCGAATTATCAGCAGCAGCCGCATCAGCAGCCGAGTGGAGATGATCAGACGGCGGCTCAGCAATCACAAACAACAGCACCGGCAGAATCGCTACAACAATGACGCGGAATAATATCGAGCTCTTGTTTTTTGGTTGGCGAGTTATTCACAAGCCCATATTGTTGATCGATTGACTTGCAGGTGTTTGTGCAACGCGTCTCTTGTAGTTGTTGTTGTTGCAAACGCTCAATTCTCTCGTTTGACAGTCCAGTACTACTTGCCGTCTTGGCGTTCAATCGAGCACTTCTTCCGCCTCTTGCTTTCGAAGCTAAACTCGTCTGAGCGGGCTTTCGAATTTTTAGACTTTGAGATTCTCAGCAGCTCAGTCTTCGTTCTTCATTCAACATTCAAATGGCTCACGTCTCCATCACTCTGCGCCAAAGCATTGCTGTTCTGAGCATCAGCAATCCGCCCGTCAACACGCTCAAGTAATACTCACACTAATAATCTTAATAATAATATGAAGAATAATCCCACTCGTGGTGACGTTTTGTGCGTTGAGGGAATGGTTGGTTGGACAACAACAACCGCGTATCCCAATTTTTCAACAATTCTGCATGAAATCCCTACTCTCTGCTGACTAATTTTCCCTTCCATCCATACCAAATCCCTACTCGACTTCCGTATTTCCGCCTCGCTCTTTCCCTCCTCTCTCTCTCTCTCTCTCTCTCTCTGTGCTCCGCAATCGCAGCCATGCAGTCCGCCACGGCATCGTGCGATCTGTGCGTGAGGCCATTTCGGATGCGCGCGTGCAGGCGCTCGTGCTTGTCGGCGCAGGGCGGTCCTTCCCGGCTGGAGCAGACATTAAAGAGTTCCGCGGCGGCCAAGCGCTCAACGGTAAGCCAAACTCAACCCAAACCAACTAACTCACTGAGAGCAGCAAAACTCAAAAGAAAGCCAACGAAACGAAAGGCCAACAACAAGCAAAAAAAGAAGCATTGAACAAAAGTCGAGCGGATCAAACGACTTGGGTGAGAGACGAAATCCGAAATCCGAAAATCCGAAAATCCAAACTACGAGGCGTTCGTTCGTCCGCCTCCGCCTCCGATTTTGGACTCGACTCGAACTCGAACTCGGACGACAACAACAATAACAACGACACGCTGCTCGTTTGTTGAAATTCGCGGCTTTTGTGTTTGGTGCTCCAATCGATTGAAGCACAAGTCAGTTCTGCAGAGGATGGATTGAGATTCAAGCGATTTTGAGCATAGATTCAAAGATTGAACGTTTTCCGATTCATTCCCGCTTCCGACCTCGAACTCGAACTCGAACTCGAACTCGAACTCGAACCTCGGATATCAAAGCCGATTCCGAGCACTGCAAGCATTGCAAGAATCAATCACGATCGGGGTTTTTTTTTTTTTTTCGCTGTTTGCTTTATCACCGAGCTCTGACTGAGTTGTTTTGGATGCAGAGGAAGATTTCGACCAAAGAAAGAGGGAACAACAACACGAGTCGGTCTGAGCGAGATCGATAAATCATGCACGACACCTCACTCAAAGAAAGATACTCAAATTCGTCTAACACTCGCGTTTCAGAGCAGCGCCGCACTTTTTTCATCTCTCGATCAGCTCTACTGAGCTGCATCAGGTTGGAAGATCGGCAGTACTTGCATCAGCGATGCACTCATTCTGGTTGCAATCCTTTTGATTCTGACAGCTCCCGTGTTGACCGAGGTCTGCGACGTGCTCGAGCAATCCCCAAAACCAATCGTGGCTGCTTTGCACGGAACCGCACTTGGCGGTGGTCTGGAGCTGGCATTGGGTTGCCACTACCGTGTGGCCCTGGATTCCGCTCACCTTGGCCTGCCAGAAGTGCACCTTGGTAAAACCAAACCAATTGAAAGCTTTGCAAGCTGAGGTCTTGTCACAATTGTTCCTCCATTCAGCCTGACTTTTTGTTGTTGTTGTTTTTTGTTGTTGTTGTTGTTATTGCTGTTGTTGTGTTGTTGCTGCTGTTGTTGTTGTTTCAAACAGGCATCCTGCCTGGCGCGGGTGGCACACAACGCCTCCCTCGTTTGATTGGCTTGCAACGCGCGTTGGATTTGATCGTGTCGGGACAGCACATTTCTGCCGCTGCAGCCCTCAAGCTTGGACTGATTGACCAGATCTTCCAAGCTGGGGCACCCGCTGCTGCCGAAGGCACGCTGCTGGACCGCGCTGTAGAGTACGCTCAGGGCATTGCGTCGCGCCCGTTGGACGGCCGTCGTGTGTCCGAGCTGGTCCCTCGCGATAAGAGTACCTTTGACCAGAGCGATGTCTGGGACAAGGCCCTTGCGACCGTCAAGGCGCAGCACCGTGGCTACGACGCGCCCATCCGCATTGTCGAAGCAGTTCGCGCGGCTGCTCAGCTACCCTTCAAGCAAGGCATGGCCAAGGAGTACGAGCTCGTCGTCAACCTGATGAAAGGGCCTCAGGCAAGTGCTCTGCAGCACTTGTTTTTCGCCGAGCGCGAGGTCGGGACGGTTCCCGGCCTGAATCCTTCCCTCGCCAAGCCCGTTCGTTCGGTGGGTGTGTTGGGCGCCGGCACGATGGGCGCTGGCATTGCAATGGTCTTCCTGAACGCCAAGATTCCCGTTGTTCTCCTCGACACCAAGCAAGAGTTCCTCGACCGCGGGTTGGCCGGCATTCGCGCCGTCTACGCCTCTGACGTCAAGAAGGGCAAACTCACCGAGGAAGCCCTCGCCAAGCGCCTAGCCTTGCTCACCCCGACCCTGGACTACGCGGCCTTTGCGAACGTGGACCTGGCCATCGAAGCCGTCTTTGAGAACATGGATATCAAGAAGCAAGTCTTTGCCAAGTTGGATGCCGTGTGCAAGCCCGAGGCCATTCTGGCGAGCAACACTTCCACGCTGAACATTGATGAGGTGAGAGCGCGAGGGGAGCTGTTGTTGGTTTTTTTTTTTTTTTGTTTTTGTTTTTGTTTTTTTTTTTGTTTGTTTTTTTGCTTTGCTTTGCTTTGCTAGTCTGGTTTTGCTTTGCTTTGCTTGTCTGGTTCGGTCGGGGTTGTTTCAATCTTTCTCCGTTTTCGCTTTGACTCACTTGAACGGCTCGGGCTCGTGCGGCAGATGGCGGCGGCGACCAAGCGTCCAGAGCAGTTTATCGGCACTCACTTTTTCTCGCCCGCAAACGTCATGCGCTTGCTTGAAAACGTGCGCGGAAAGAAATCGTCACCAAGCACGATTGCCACTGTCATGGCGCTTTCCAAGACGATCAAGAAGGTGGGTGTGCTTGTCGGAAACTGCGACGGCTTTGTTGGCAACCGAATGCTCGAAGGCTACGCACGCGAGGCCTCGTTCATGCTCGAGGAAGGCGCTCTGCCCGCTCAAGTGGACAAGGTGTTGACCAGCTTTGGCATGGCCATGGGCCCGTTCCAGATGGGCGATTTGGCTGGCAACGACGTCGGCTGGCGCATCCGTCAGGGCAAAGGGATGACCAACCCCGCCACGCGCCCGGCCAAGGAAGGCCGCTACTGCGAGCTCGGCGACAAGCTGTGTGAACTTGGACGCTTTGGCCAGAAGGCTGGAGCTGGCTGGTACAAGTACGAGCAGGGACAACGCAAGGCAATTCCTGACGATGCGGTTGCCAAATTGATCGAGGCGCACTCGTCGAGCAAGGGCATTGCTCGCCGCAGCATTTCCGACGAGGAGATTTTCGAGCGATGCATGTACCCGCTCATCAACGAAGGCTTCAAGGTGCTGGAAGAAGGCATCGCCCTTCGCCCTGGCGACATTGACATTATTTGGTAAGGAGACTTGTGGTGCTGCAAGCTTTTGTGGACTGGACACTGGCTGAAGTCTGACTTGTTATGTGGTTGTAACACATTATTTCCAACGTGGATTCAACCCACAGGGCATATGGCTACGGCTTCCCCCGTTACCGCGGCGGCCCGATGCATGTCGCTCAGACCATTGGTCTGAAGAAGATTTACACTGCCCTTGCCAAATACTCGAAGCAGTTCCCGACCAGCCATCACTTTGTTCCCTCCAAGCTGCTCCAGACGCTTGCCGAGACGAACACGACCCTGGAGCAGCATTTGGCCACCAAGAGCAAGCTGTAACGATGAGGCTGCGGTTGACAGTTTATGTTTGGTTGTTTGTTGTTTGTCGTTTGTTGTTGTTTGTTACTTCTTGTTGTTTGCTGTTGTTGTTGTTGTTGCTGCTGTGGATGATTTGTTTCTGTTGGAATACATGTATAACTTGTCGTGAACATGCACTGAGTTGCCAGTTTGGAGTTGTTCTGCTCAGTCCTCGTTCATCAGACAAAGTGTCGGACATGGCCGATTTAGACGACTGGGAATCCGCAGCCGATGCCGGTGTAACGCTTTCACGATTACTTTGATATTATCCACCACCTATGCACTTTGGCACGACGAGTAGGCCAACGCAATTGCCATCTCGCTGACTTCTGAGCGCGTTTCGTCAGGTCTTTGATGCGCCTCCACCGGCCCAAACAAGCGACCGCGCGACTGGTGTTCCTGAATCTGCGTGGCACCAGGACCGCCACGAGGCCGCAGATGACGCCAGGCGGGCAGCAGCGCACGAGGAGCAGCGCCACGAGCGAGACCTGAGGTAATGCGAACTCGCGCCAAACTCGCGCCAAAAAAAAAAACCGACGAAAGCACAGAAAAACTGAGACTTCCAACACGTCACCCCGCAACAGTGAGCTTGGCATGACTGGCCAAACTCCAAACGCACGTGCTTGTTTTCTCATTGAAATTATCACTCTTGTTTGAACAGATCGTTTCAAGATTCACAAAATGTTGCAAAACTTGCTCCGGAGGTCGCGAGCACTTTGCTTCCGTATATGCCAGCAGTGAGTGATGTTCGCTGGGGGGGGGTTGGATTTGAAAACTCGTGCATGATGACTCGTTCGTGCGATTGTTTGCTCAATTGCAAGCACACAGGTTCGGATAATACGAAAACCTGCTACCGTCGTCGCGTCAGAGCAGCAACGTGCGCAGGCTGCGCGTGCAGCAAGTGAGCAGTCGCGAGCTGCTTCCATGCTGATGCCTTCTGAAAGAGATGCCGCGTATGCTGCAGCAAGAGAGCGCATTCTCGGCGCTGCACCAGAGACACGACCAGCGGTGCAAGCAACACCTGTAACCTTGCGCCCACGAGAGCCCGTCGCCCCACCACAGTCACAGCTGCAAGCTCTGCCACAAGCGACTCGTCAACCAAGAGGCCCTTCATCCGGTTCCGCCACTGGATTTACACGAAGACAGGATGAGAGCCGATAACCCAGATGAAGTAATTCGTTTTTGTTTTGTTTTTTTTTTTTAACACAACATTGTACATGCAAACTCCAATTGTGGTAGCACCATCAATTCGCAAGCCATCAAAGAGGCTTCACCGACAATGCTAGACCACAGGATATGCGCACACTCAGTACTCGGTACGCACAAACACACACACACATACACGCGATGAACTCAAGCCACGTTCAACTTGGAATGCCGTCCGATAAACTCTATAAACCAACACAAACCCCAAAAAAATCAGTGAAAAGATGGCCGTTTGTCGTTCCCAAACACGCTCAAGATGCTTTTCAACAAAGCGAAAGTGATTGATCCCGTACCATAGAAGTCAGCAAACCATCGTCTTGCGCTGATGGGTCGGCTGCAGCTGGTGCTGCTGCAGATTCCGGCAAACCAAGCTCCCAAGCTGAAGCATCCGTTTTCTCGCTGCTCTCCGAGGGGGTAGAACGCGACGGATCGGCGTTGCCCTCTTCGTCTGCGCTCGCCTGCTGGCTAGACCCGTCTGACGGGGCTGGGAGGCCTTCCGCGATGGCAAAAGCAGCTGTATCGTCGACCATATCGCCCTCAGAAGCCTCTTGTTGTCGAGGAGGGGATTCAGTAGGGCCGGGAGCTGCGGGAGCGGCTTCAGAAGATGAGGTTGTCGCTTCGTTGGGGGTTGAAACTGCGACAGACGCCTTGGCCACTTTGGGTGCTCGCTTTGACGCACGCCCTTCCTTTTGACCACTCTTCCACGTGCCATCGCGTTCGTCGTCGTCCGGGGTATCAAAGGATCGCTTCGCAGTCACGCGAGGACGACTCGCCGCTTTGGCGCCACCACCTCGAGAGTGTCTGCGTCCCGTGGTATTCGCCGTCGAATTCGGTCCTGATGCCTCAACAGACGGCGAAGCAGCATTGAGGCTGCTTGCTCCATTTTTGAGCGAGTTGGGTTGTTGTTGTAATTGCTGTTGCTGTAATTGCTGTGATTGCTGTTGTTGTTGTTGTTGCTGTTGTTGTTGCTGTTGTTGGTGCAATTGCTGTTGCTGTTGCTGCAATTGCTGCAGTTGCTGCAGTTGCTGTAATTGCTGAAACTGCAAGAGCTGCTTATCAAGCTGCAGGCGCTCGAAAGAGTCGGAAGAGCTTGGATTTCGAAGGGTTTGAATTCCGAGGTGGTCCATTGTTCCGTCCAATGTGAGGGAGCTGTTGCTGTGGGAAGCCATCGAGTTGGTAAAATCAAAGTTTGCGTTTGGTGTCGCAGCCAATTTGGCAAAGTCATCGTTCGGGAGGCGGGCGTCACCGAGCAGCTCGGAAATCGACGGATCAGTGGCGCTGTCAAACTTGTGACTCAGAGCGGGACCGTGAGAAGCAGGGCCAAACGGGTTGCTGGGTTGCGACAATAGAAAGTTTTGCATTTGAAGGTCGTCGTGTTGCAATTGGAGATCGTGCAGCAAACGATTCCCATGCAGAGCGGCAGCGTTGTTGCTGTTGTTGTTGTTGTTGTTGTTCGAGAGTATTCGTGCGCCGCTGGTAGCTCCATCGAACGAGTCGTCTACCCTGGCACGCTTGTTCGGATGGGCGTCGATGAGTTGCTGTTGCTGTTGTTGGAGCATCTGTTGTTGCAAGAGCTGGATTTGGGAGGAGGTTGTCGAATTGAGTGGTACTTTCGACAACAAGGTGGCAGACGGGTTTGCTTCGTCCGTGCTCTGCACAAACAACAACAAAAAAAAACAGAGAGGCCGGGATACATGAGCGACTGCATCCAACCAACAGCAAGAGCGTAGATACAACACATCGACGTAATTAGTTGGTAAGACTCGAAAAAGCAATGAAAGTGCATACCATGGGCTCAGCAAAGTCATGACTCGGGCTCAAGGAGGACAGCGGACCCCCTCCAAGCGAACGGCGGCCAGGTGGCAGCAAGTTATTGTTGAGCAGACCGCCGCTTTTGCTGAGAGGGGCAGAGTCCAAAGAGGAGCGTGCACTGCGAGAGGCGTTGCTACCCAAGGGTGGTGAGCAGCTGAGGGTTGAGAGGTCCTGCTGCTGCAGAAGAATTCTGCCGACCAAACTCGTCAATGCGGAGCGGCTGACCGAAAACGGCTCGTAATGCCGGGTCTGCCGGGACTTTGGCCGTGTTGAGCAGCTGACGCACTTTGCTCGGTTTGGCGCTGGACTGCAGACCGCGTGTCAATGTACGAGCGAGCCTTCACAGAGGCAGGCTTGTTTGAGCGAGCGTTGAAAACGTCCCAAAACACGCCCCACCACTCTGCCAAAAACCCGCCAGGCACGTCAAAGACAATCATTTCCTCTTGGAGCACTACAAGGGAAGATACAGGAGGGGGGTAGGGTGTGACGATGAGTGTGGTGCATTGTTTTGAAGTTGAATGCAGAAAACGGGAACACTTCTGGCAAAAAGCAAATGATTCGTACCTTGTGCTTCGATCGCAAAGGCTTGAGCTGCCCGGTGGAGGTTGCGCTTTTGCAGAAAGTCGTGCACATAGAGCATCAACCTGGTGCAAAGACGCGGGTACGTCAGTCAATCAACAACCAATAGAAGAAGAAAAAAGTACAGCTCAACTTGCAAAACTTACATCCGATCAGTGTCGATGGCCTGACCAGGAGTCTGACTGCCGACGGGTTGGCTGGCACGAGGCGCTTGCCGAGGCAGAGGCGGCAGACTTGTCTGAGAGCTGCCTGCTAAAAGAGGTGAGGATGATGATGATGATGATGATGAAAACAGCAACAGAAACCAATGCAGAAAATGTCAGACAAGTCAAACGATGGCAGCTGGTTGCTGGTTTGTATGTTTGTACGTGTTTGTGTGTTTGTATGTTTGTTTGTGTTTGTTTGCTCTGAAGAACGAAAAAGTCTGAAACAACTCTTGCTTGTTGAGCTGTTTTTGCTTGTTTTTGCTTCGCTTAGGGTTTTGATGGGGCGGTTCCTTCGAGATTCGAAAAGAGGGAGGGGATGGTAATGCAAGTATGAAACAGAAAACGTTTTTCAGCAACTTGTGTTTTGCTTAGCTTTTCGCTTGTTTTGGAGTTTGACAGGCGTTTCCTAAAAAAGGGATTGAGAGACTTTGTACCTGTTCGCAACGATGGACTAAGCGATGGCGCTGTTGCCGTCCGCTGCTGCTGTTGTTGCTGTTGCTGCTGTTGTTGCTGTTGCTGTTGTTGCTGCGGTGGAATCGGCTGCTGAAAGTGCTGCTGCTGCTGCTGCTGCTGCTGCTGCTGCTGCTGGAGTTGAGCGAGTTGGAGCGCGTCGTCCTGCGCCGCCGAGTGCTGCGCATGCTGATGCTGGTGCTGATGCTGATGCTGGTGCTGGTGCTGGTGCTGGTGCTGATGCTGGTGTTGGAGTTGTTGCAGTTGCTGTAGCTTGACGCTGTCAATCGATGCAGAGATGGCAAAGCCTGGCTGTGGGTGGCCCAGCAACTGAAGATCAAACTCCTGCTGCTGGAGTTGCTGCTGCTGTTGCTGCTGCTGTTGTTGCTGCATGTGATGGTAATGCTGATGCACCAGCGACGCTGAGGCTGAGGACGAGGCTGCTGCTGCTGCTGCTGCTGCTGCTGCTGGAGTGGACGATGACGATGATGGCGGAGGTCCCAGTCCCAGTCCCGTCTGCTGTTGATGCTGCTGATGCTGCTGATGTTGTTGCTGATGCTGCTGATGTTGGGTGTACGATGCATGGTGCTGCTGCGGTGGTTGAGTGACGGACGGCGACTGTGCACGGCTGCTCGTGCTGCTGCTCCTGCTGTTGCTGCTCAGCCCAGCCAGCGCAGGATGCTGCTGCTGCTGAGCCTGAGCCTGAGCCTGAGCCTGTGCTTGTGCTTGTGCTTGAGCCTGAGGCCCGAGTGAGAGCGACATTGAGGACGACGACAATGATCGCTGAACGGGCTGCCTATTGCTGCTGTTGCTGATGCCATTGCTGTTGCTGCCATTGGGATTGGTATTGCTATTGCTACTGCTAGTGCTACTGCTAGGGTTGTGCTGATGCTGATGGTATGGATGCAAGTGCTGGGCGTCCTGATGCAGCTGCTGCTGAAGCTGGATTTGCTGCTGGATCAACTGCAACTGCTGTAAATGCTGTTGCTGCGCCTGTTGGGTCTGATGCATGTGATGATGTTGCTGCTGATGCTGCTGCTGCTGCTGTGGTGGTGGCGGCGGCGGCGGCGGTGGTGGGCCTGGTTGTGGGGGCGGCGGCGCGTGCAGACCCAGCTTGGGCGTTCCTCCTCCTCCTCCTCCGCCTGCACTCATTCACTGTCTCAAAGCAGAACAAAAAAGAACCCAAGCGACAAGATCGATAGCTGGATGCGTGTGATGGGTGGAGAGCGTGTGCCGATCGCGAGCTTTCAGTTTTGGAGTGGCGCGCGCAAAATTCAAAAATGGCAAAGAAAAAAATAAACAACAAGTCTGAGCCAAAAAAAAAAAAAACAAGAAAGGAAAACTGAACCAATGCAAAACTCATTCTTCACTATATTCTTAGTAAACGATACTTCCGCATACATTTCGTCCGCCTCAGTAGAGATTCGAAGGTAAGGTCGTCACAGCAAGCATTGTTGGCTTGTTTGTTTGTTCGTTTGCTTGTTTGCTTGTTTGTTTGCTTGTTTGCCTTCCCCTTTTCATTGCGATCACCCACAACCATCTCAATCCCCAAATCGTGAGTGATCAACACTTTCACTCCTGTTTTTGTTCGTCTTTTGCTTTTTGCATTTTGTTGCTCGATTTGTGACCTCTTCCTATGTCTTTTTTGTTTGCGTTTTGATGAATCTTTTTTCGTTACTCTTTCCCTCACTATTTTTTATCTCCGCTCCCACCAGCACGGCTTTTTTTTTTTTTTTTTTTCTTTTCTTCTTCCCCCTTTCCCCGACTCCATTTCACTGTTGCTGCTGCCGTTCTGACTGAAGCGTTTCCCTTCTCATCTCCATCTTGCATCAACCTGTCCCAGTGTCTTGTCATTGCGGCGGGGTGATGGATTGATCCTCCGAACGATTCTCATTGCCTTTCCTACAGTGACACCCACTCGCTCCCGTTTCACTCACTCTGCGCTCTTCGGATCACCAGATCACAGAACTCGAATCCAACAATGACCAAGCTTGTGGCTGTTCTCAAGGGCGATGGCGCCGTCAAGGGCACGGTCGTCTTCACTGACGATGTGAGTTCAACATCCACACAAAGAGTGTCGTCGTCTTCGTCGTCGTCGTCATCGAGCTGCTTCATGCGTTGAGATGCAGATTGGCTAAAGTGCAAGGGGACGATTGGGGAGCGGGGCTTGGTGGTGGTGGGGGGACGGAAGGGAGACAGATATCAAAGCATCGTCATCTGGGCATCGCATCGTCATCCGTCCAACGAAAGTGCACGCACACACATCAATCTGAGAGTACTGGGCAAAAACGCTGCAATTTATGGTGGAACGAATGGAACGTTGGATTGCGACGAGAACGCTCATCTCTCTCCATTCATGAACCAATGTCGTTTTTGGTCCTGTCGACCCCGTCCAACTCAAAGGTGCACGACGCACAAAAGGGTTGAGCATTGTGGAGGAAAAACTTGTCGTCGTGGGGCTGTGGATATGGCTGTGGATGGGCGTTTTGAAGGACAGTCAAACCACTCATCAACAAAACCCTGGTCGAGATGCTTGCACTCCACTCACGCGCTGCCTTCGTCTTGTCCTCCAAATAGGGCGCTGCCACCAAGGTTGAGGGAACCATCGAGGGCCTCGCTCCCGGCAAGCACGGCTTCCACATCCACGAGTTTGGCGACAACACCAACGGTATGTGTACTCGTTGGATTGAAAAGCAAACTATTGGCACTGATGTTGCAGTCATCATTTGATTTTGTTGAACCGCTCATCAAATGGATGATTTTTTGGTAACCTCTGGCGCTGATTTTTTTTTTCGGTCGGTCTTTTTGTTTGTTTGTCTGCTTGTTTGCTTGTTGCTTTGAAACAGGCTGCATCAGCGCTGGTCCCCACTTCAACCCCGCTGGCAAGACCCACGGTGCCCCCGAAGACGAGGAGCGGTATGGCATTCGCTGTTGTTCTGTTGCGCGATCATCGTCCGAAAGAATCGCCAGCTCATAGGCTTTCGATGTGTTGTTGTTTCTGCTTTCCGACTCAACCAGTCACGTTGGTGACCTCGGCAACGTCGAGGCTGGCGCCGATGGCATTGCCAAGTTCACCATTACCGACAACCTCATCCAGGTTTCGGGCGTCAACTCGATCGTTGGTCGCTCCGTTGTGGTCAGTCTCGTCGCCACTTTTTTTTTTCTTTTTTTTTTTGACGTTGTGGACACTCGGAATGCGTCCTTTGTGTGCTCATTTCAACGCACGTCATACTGCTTGCTGCGTTGCCTTTTTGTTTAGATCCACGCCGACATTGACGATCTTGGCAAGGGCGGCCACGAGCTCTCCAAGACCACTGGCAACGCCGGCGGTCGCCTCGCCTGCGGCGTCATTGGCGTTGCAAAGTAATTCAGTTTCTTGCTGCGCATTGCACCCGTTGAAGCATCTGAGGCTGTGTCCGTCCTCTGCTTTTGTGTTTGCTTCGCTGCCCCCTTTCTCTCTCGCTCTGTTTGTGAAACAAAAACAAGTGGCCTCTTCCTGATTTCATTGTTCATTGCCAATGTGTGTGTTTGCATTTCTTTGTCCAACCCCCACACATACAGCGCTCCAGTGATTGCTCGGTTGTGAGCGCTGTTGTCGTTTCATCGGTCTGCCCTCCAAATTGTTCAGCAACGTTGCGAAGCGGCAAAGCAGTCGCAGTTGGTCAGTGGAGTGATGTGTACTGCTCCCTTGAGTCCTTCTAGATCTACAGTCATCGAGTACATACATGACTTGTCGCTGATGTCGTGTTCGATCGCACTGCTTTGGCATTGTTCCTCGTCCTTCTGCGCATCCGATTGATTTTTCTTTCAACTTGTGCTTTCAATGCTCTTTCCAATCGTTTTTTTGTTTTCGTGGCATATGATGTTCTTTTTCCCCCATTCTCAGCCTTTCTTTCTTTCTCAGCCTTTCTTTCTTTCTCAGTCTTTTTTTTTTTTTTTTTTTGGTTTCTGAGTGGCGGTACAACTTTTTTCGTGACGTTTTTACTTTTTGTTGCGTACTCTCGTTTTTCAGTCACACAAATCGGCCATCACACCGGAGAGACACGTCACTTCACTATGGTGCTGAGTCTCGTGCGGCGGGCTCGGCTGCTGGGAAGCAGTCACTCGACGCCATCACCAACGCTGTCACCCGCTACAGCAGCAGCAGCGACGACCAGTCACAGCAACACTGCGGCTGCACACTCATCGCCAGTGGCCAATGCATCGACTACCACGAGCACTGCTGCTGCTGCTGCTGCTGTGGGGAGCCAGAGCCAGAGCCAGAGCCAGTCGCCGTCATCCGCACGCGGTTCAGTCGCGTCCAGTCGCACGCTGCTCTGGTCAGTCCTCTCTCTCTCTCTCTCTCCCTTCTCATTCGACCTTCAACTCACACCTCGACTCACTCGCTCGCTGCTCATCGATCCAACTACAAACCCGTCGCGCGTCTCGGTCACTGCCCCCCTCTCTCTCTCTCTCTCTGCACTTTCTTACGTCTGCTCCCCCGCGCCTTCAATGCGTCCACCCCTCCCTTGGCTGGCACTTTTTGCATCATCACACTGCTTTAGTGAATGCGAAATCCGCTCTGTCTTTGTGTGATGGATTGACGCAAACCTGGTCCAAAGCAGCCGCTGTCTTGGTTGTATTCTTGGCGAGAACGGGGTTGAAGCGGCTGGCTTGCGCTCCACAGAGCGGGTGCGCTGCGCCTGGATGCGTTAGTGCAATGCGTGGGCAGTGACAACTGAGACAAGGCCGGGAGCGGGGGTTACGCAGCGATTCCGACAAAGAGAGTCGTCCTGCTCGCTGGTACGACGTCAGCTCAATTCCCAATGGAACATCAGTCTCAGAAACAACGACCTTCCCCCCCCCCCACCACCACCACCACCACCACTCTTCGCCTTTCGCCGCAAACATCTCCCCCCCCCCCACCCAATGGAGCGCTTCCATTTGTATTACAC